AAAATCTAGGAAGCCAGGAAGAATGAGAGAATGGGGATGGCAGAGGTGAACAAGAGACTCACTTCTCCTTTCATGGTAGCTACCACTCTCTCTAAGCTCAGATCCAACTTTCCATCCTGTTCTTGCAGATGCAAAGTAATTGTTTTCTGGGAAGAAAAGGGGAAAAAAAGTGTATTCATTTATGTAGCACATTTAGACCAGGCCCACAATTGGGTCTAAATGTGCTACATAAAAAGACAAAAGGTTAAAATGGTAAAATAAAATACTTTTTTAAAATGTGTAGGTGGATGCTCATGTTTCTGCATGTCCTCAACATTGAACAAAAACAAAAACAAAACAACAACTATGCATGTAGGAAAGTAGCACAACAACATGCATGTTGGGTGAGCTAGAAGCCTTCTCTTTGAACTGCTAGATTTTACTCTCAGAGAGTCTAGGATGTTCTATTTTTGAACATGAGAGATAAGTTAAAAATGCCCTCCTTCATCTGCAGTCCTAAGTGGTACACTATAGGCTACCATCATTCTGTTGCATGTGTACATCAGGTTTTATTCCTATTTGGTGTACACGTTACTGACTGAGGCCACATAACACTCTAAACTACAACTATCTGCCTTTCTGGTCAATAGAGTTGCTGTGTGTCTTATTATAAGAGACGTCCCTTATTAGAGAATCAGAAAGCTTGTCCCTTATAGGATTGGCAGGCATTCCTTATTATAAGGAATGTCCCCTGTTTGAGGGTTGGATTGCTTTTCTTTTTATGTAGATGAACAAGATGCCTCCAAATCCTGTAATACTTGATGTGAGCTTTTCAAAGACATAGAAATGTGTGCATCACATAATGTATGAATATAGGCAATATGTCAGTTTTCCAGACAAATGCATGACTAGGTTAACCGAAGTCAACACTTTCATTTGGTATTAGGCAGAACACAAACTTGTGAGTACAGGTTATCTCTCTTTTATCTAAAATGCTTGGGACTAGAAGTGTTTTGGATTTCAGATTTATCTTTTTTTTTCTTTTTTTTTTGATTGAGGAATACCTGTATTTGCCTATAAGTACAAAATGAGATATCTTGGAGATCTAAACACAAAATTCATGTTTCATATACACATAGCCTGAAGGTAATTTTATACAACATTTTAAAATAATTTTGTGCATGAAACAAAGTTTGTATACATTGAACTAGCAAAAAAAGCAAGAGTGTCACTATCTCATCCATTCATGAAAAAAGTTTTGGAATTTGGTGTATTTTAGATTTTCTAATTCTGGATAAGGGAGACTCAGCCCATAGTTATTTCCTGATTGTCAGCCCTGCATGTTGTGAACTTCAACTGTTCCTTATTGTTATTTTAAAAAGGACCATTTTGGCAGCACTATCTCCCATTCCTACTTACCCTTCAAAGCTTCCTCCCATCCCTACCCACAATCTCAGTCCTTTTTTCTGTCCAAAAGTACTCACACAGAGCTCAGCTGCCATCAGTGCAGTCACCTTCAGCTGCATCATAGGATTGGTGGCACCCTTCACTGACAGATCCAGGCAGGTAAGCATGGCATGGGTATTCTTCTCATACCATTCTTCCCTGGTTAGGACACACCAAGAAAATCCTCATCATTTCCCCCAAGCATTTAACAGTAACCACACATTGAGCACAACACCTTCCCATTTTCCTGATGCCTCTCAGGCACCAAGGTCTGACCTTATGTTCCACTTACCAACTTTCAATATCCCTAGCTACCATCTGCTGGCCTCCCTGACAATTGATGGAGAACGTTTATTCTGTGCTATTTCACTTGTTCTTTGGCTCATAAAATTAAAGTGTTTGCTCTGGCTATTTCTTTGCTCTGCCACAAACAAGCCTGTGATCTCACTGGAATGGAGACATACTGGATTGCAAAAGAGGGGTCTTTGTTGAGATGCAAATGGATTTTAAATTTACTGGACTTTGCAAATCTCCCTATAGCCAGAAGGCCAGAAGGAAGAGGATCCTGCCTACAAAAGATGTCCTCCCCACCATATACCATCTTAACTAAAGACTGAACCAACATGTAGGTTATCTGACTAACATCTCCAATTGTTTTTCTCCTGTTTGGTTTGTAACATCTTGCCTGATGAAGAAGCCCATGGAGCTTTGAAAGCTTGCAACAAGTATATTGTGCATTTTGGTTGGCCAATAAAGGTATCATTGATGGATTTTTATTTCTTAAACTGTTTGTCTGGATGGAGCTTGCTCTCCCTCTGAAATATCAGGTTCATAGCTTGGGGATACTCTTGGACCCAGCACCATGGTGGCCAGGAGTGCCTTTGCCCAGCTTTGCCTGGTGTGCCAGATGTGCCCTTTTCTTGGAGAAGGTAGACGAGGCCACAGTGATTCATGCCTTAGTTACCTCTCTGTTAGACTACTGCAATGCCTTTATGTGGGCTGCCCTTAAAAAGTGTTCGGAAGTTGCAGCTAGTGCAAAATGCAGCAGCCAGACTGGTGCCAGGTGTGCATTTTAGAGACCATATAACACCAACCCTGCAAGAATTACACAGGCTTCCAATTTGCTTCTGAGTTAAATTGAAGGTGCTAGTGTTGACTTACAAAGCCCTAAATGATTTGGGGCCAAAACCACCACCCCCTTATGAATCTGCCAGAAATTTAATAACTTTAGAGAAGGCCCTGTTGCATGTCCCAACACTATGCGGAGTTAGGTCAGTGAGTCCATGTAACAGGTGTTTTTTTTCCCTGTAGCAGTGTCTTGAATGTGGAACTTCCTACACCAGAGATTATACTGGTCCCATCTCTTCTAAACTTCTGGCAGGCATCCCACACAGTGGCATTAAATGTTGAACCACTACACCCGCTAGGTATTTCTTTTTGTAGCCTTCTAAAATGAAAAGCTTAAGTGGATTTGGTTGGGGAGAACTCCCCCATGATTCAAGTGTTGACAGAAATCTAAAGTTAGAAGATAATATAATGCAGTATTCCCTTCTACCTCATAATTCACCTTTACCCAGAACTTCTATGCAGGCCCATACCCGAGTTTCTTGCCATCTTCCTCCCCTTGGTGTGTGTTTGTGCCTTCAAGTCACCTGTCAACTTATGGTGACCCCATGAATTTCATAGGGTTTTCTTAGGCAAAGAATACTCAAAGGTGGTTTTACCAATTCCTTCCTCTAAAATATAGCCTATAGCACCTAGTATTCATTGGCAGTCTCCCATCCAAGTACTAACCAGGGCTGACTCTGCTTAGCTTCCAAGATCAGATGGGATCCTTTAGATTACTTTAGCCAGTACTAACACATGCATTGCAGATGGATAAACTCAATCAAGGAAGATACATTAAACTTGGAGGTCTCTTATTCATAGGGCCACCATAAGTTGAAGTCAACTTGAGAGTAGTTAACAACACCCAAGTTCTCTCCTGTTGTCCAAACCCTGGCTATAATTTCAGCTCATCCAATACTCACCCTTCCCTTGCCTGCCCCACATCTTCCTCTATAGGGACTGCGAGGAGAGGACGGACCCCCAATCCCTGGAGCCGTTGCAACGTTTCCTTGATCTCTTCATGAGTTTCGCCAGCCACGAACTGCCCATACAGCGTAAGACGTAGGACTGAGCTCCATAATCGGTGGCCCAGAACCCGTCGGGAGATGGAGAGAAGCTTGGCAGGGCAGAGGGAAAATGCAGTGTGAGGGGAAGGAAATTCCTTGTTCATCTATTACAGCAAACACACATGAAGACAGAGGGACAAAGCCTAGAAAATTTTATTTTTTAGATTATAACTCCCAGAATCCTTGGGCAGCATGGCCACTGTCCAAGGTGGCCAGAGGATTTGGGAGCTGAAGTCTGAAAAAATAATGGCCAAAATACATCAGCAGATGATGGAGCTCCATCGTCATAGCTATGTCTGATGAAGACACTCACCAAAAAGCCTCTCTCTTAAACCAGGCAGCACACAACTGAAAGGTTTTGAAGTGCTCCATATCGGGGATCTGTTTAATGATGACTGAAACACTTTTCCGCTTGCAGGGCATCTTGAGAACAGGCAGCTGGAGAGAATCCCTTTGGGTCATGCTACAACTGCTTGTCTCGACACACTTCATGATCAGGAGACTACTAAAGACATTGTTTCCTAGCACTCCTTTCTGCAACACCTTGGAAACCCTTCAGTTTCAGCACTTCCTGTCTGAAAAAGTATACTTTTGTTGGCTATTAACAACCATAAATGTGAATCTTGAAAAGTTCCAAGATCATAAGTCCAGCTTACAATTGTGTGACTACAGAGGGCTCTTGGTATCTGCTGGGGTTTGGTTCCAGTACGCCCTGTAGATACCAAAATCCGTGGATGCTCAAATCCCATTAAATAAAGTCGTGTAGTAAAATGGTGTCACCTATATAAAATGGAAACAACAAGGATTACTTTTTGGAGATTATATATTTTTATTTTTATATATTTTGGAAAAATTTTGCAGCTATGGATAGTTGAATCTGTGGATATGGAAGGCTGATTGTACTGAGCAGGATGGCAGCCAACATTTCCAGACTTTGAGAGAGAACCCTGTGTCACCTTCAAGGCTAAACAGATTGAGTTTGACATGAGTTTCAAGACTAGAAAGACCTTATCTACCAATTGGGAACACACTTAATGCTTCTGATGCAAGTGTACTCTAGCCTACATAATGCCATAGTAACCATCTTTCAGTGACCATCAAATAGCTCAAGGAAGGAAGGAAGGAAGGAAGGAAGGTTGATTGATTTTGTAATGATTTAGAACTGCTTTACTGAAGGCGGGGGAATAATGTTGCACTCACAGAGCATTCAGGTCAGTTTGCTTGACATGTCAGTTTGCTTTAAACATGTACACTATGACTGTGTGCTTCAATATTGTTCTTGTGTACCTTTCCAATTCATGACAATGCTAAGGTAACCCTATCATGGGGTTTTCTTGGCATGTTTCTTCAGAGGAGGTTTGCCATTGCTATCCTCTGAAGCTGAGAGAGTGCCCAAGGTCATTGCTGAGCAAGGATTCGAACCCTGGTCTCCAGAGTCATAGTCCAATGCTTAAACCATTACACCACACTGGTTCGTGCTTCCATATGACATTCTACTTAGGAGAATATTGTTATGGATTACATCATCCCAGAAACATGACATCAGTAAGCATCCATATTAAAGAAACTATCTTTTGGTCTTCTTGATCCCAAGTCCCCTTTCTGGATAGGGTTAAGAGGCTGCCAATGACACAGCTTGGCCAAAAGATCCTTGTGAGAACACCACCAGGGAAGGACTTGGGCATGGAGCATGTCCCCAAATGCAACAGGGCAGGCATATTACTTTTCCAAGTAAATTAAATTATACACACCAGGGCACCCAGAACTGTTTTTAAAGTGTCAGTAGCTTAATATTTGGCAGGCAATTTGTTTTTAATTTTGCCTGCTTGCAGGTATCTCCAGGTGGAGAGCAAACAGATTTTCCCATGCATTATCATAAAACATCCATAAATACAAAGAGCCTGACAAGCACAACTTATGTGGTCAGTATAGCTTACTTCTAAGTTAATACACACACAATAGATGACAGGCAGACTTTATTATTCCTGAAAGGGCACAATGACAGCAGCTCTTTTAACATTTCTTAGTGTTTAATAATTTGGCATAGTTCTGACTGATAGTTCTTAAGGAGACTGAAGAACATAGAACCTTGGTAAACCAATTTTGTCAGATTATTTGGGGAGGGGTCTAATTTTGTTTTTTTGGGGGGTGCCCCTGTTCTGGGGTCCATGATGCATGTTACCATCTGAACACACCTGTCTCCAACAAGACTACTACAGGTTGAGTCTCCCTTATCTGGAATTCCAAAATCCAAAATTGTCCTCATAGGTGCCTGAGATGGTGACATCTTTGCTTTTTGATGGTACACAATCTTTGCTTCATGCACAAAATGATTAAAAATAATGTGGACAAAATTACCTTGAGGCTATCTGTAAAAGGTGTAAATGAAACAGAAATGAACGTCATGTTTAGACTTGGGTCCCATCTCCGACTGATCTCATTATGTATATTCCAAAATCTGGAAAAAATAAATCCAAAATCCCAAACAATTCTGTTCCCAAGCATTTTGGATAAGGCAGACTCAACTTGTAGATCAAGAGTCTAACATTGTATCAGTAAACAATGCAGCATTCCCCAACAGATCACTATGGAGCACCCCTTTGGTTACTGGTCATGATGGGGAGAGGTTGGTTGGGTGGGTTATGGGTCAGGATTCAAAGGACTCCTTCTCTCACCATGGGTGCTCTCTGAATCAGCCTTGGGGAGGAGCAGAGCAGGAACACCAGCAGTCCACGGCTAAGCTCCCAGTTGCTCTTCAGGCGGAAAACTTTCCCATCATCCAAATTTAACGAAAGATGTGGAGGCGTGGGTGCCTTTGCAACAGCTTGGGGGGTTGTCCTGGGAAGAGAAGATTTCCAGGCGGTAGACCGGGGTCCCCAGAGGGCTATTGCCCAACGATGCAACAAGTGAGGCCCCTGCTTCAGCATGCTGCCCGCTCTGCCTGAATATCACACCATGCCACATCTGAGAATGCCACATCTGGTGTCTATCTCACAGCGTTTGGGTGTGGAGGCATCCAGGAAACACAGAGAGGGTGAGGGATGAGTCCAGCACCAACCCAACAAGGTGCTGCCTCAGCAGATTTGGGGGCTGGTGAGGGAGGAAGGAGCTTGATAGAGCAGAAAAACTGCTGAGAAGAAGTCACTTATTAACAATGGGACTTCAGGCTCTTCCATCTTTTTGCTTTATCCCATAAAACTCAATTTTCCTTAAAGAATACTCTTTAAACCAGGGGTAGGCAACCTTTTTGAGCCGGGGGCCAGGTTGCTGTCCTTCAGACAATTGGGAGACTGAAGCACCAAAAATAAATAAATAAATAAATAAATATATTAAAAAAATAATTTTTTTAAAAAAATATGCATGCACACTCTCTCAGCCCCAGAAAAGCCATGGCAAAACCCCTGTGGAGATTTTGCCAAGAAAACCCCAAGAACAAGTAATAGCAACAATAATCAATATGATCATGGCGGGGGGCGGCGGGGGCAGGACCGGCCTGGGGCAGGTCCAAAGGCCTCGGGGGGCCGCATCCGGCCCCCGGGCCTTAGGTTGCCTACCCCTGCTTTAAACCAAAGATACACACTCTGGACTCTTGGTTCTCATGGGTCCTCTCTGCAGTGTCTTAGCTACCAGATTCAGCTTGGATTCTTGTTCACTTGTTCTCTATGTACTATCAAAGGACACATCCAGACTGATTAAAAAGACCAAATATTCCCAGATTTTGTTCCTGTTCTTTCTGATTTTAGATATCCATACAGGTTTTGTTTATCCCAGAATATTTTCTGCCAGCTCCTGGTATGATAAAATAGTTTTTCTACCAGCTCCTCAGATCGGTTTATTTTAACCCGATATGCGATCAGAAAGAACAGTATCAAAATCTGAGACTTTTCAATCAGTTTGGATGCACTCTTAGTTTCTGCATACTATATATTTTCTATACATTAAAACAATGATTCCCAGCTCTCACAACATCCACCTTCTTCAGGGCTAGAGGAAGGAATCTCAGGGCAAGAGCCCTTTATTCTTCTCTGCTAGATTAATACATTAATTCATTTTTATTTAAATGATGGACTCAGAGTTGAAAATGTATCATGATTAATGACACCACCAGAGTCCATTCCTTTGTCTCAGAGTTTGGTTTTGAAATCTCAGGGATGGTTCTCACCTGAAAATCTTAGTGAGAACTCTTTGCAATACATGATCAGTATTAATCCCATTTCTCTTTCCCCCATTCCTTCATACTTATCACACCTTTAAAGTAATTAAGGTGCCTTCCAGTTCAGAAACCAAAACAATTTATTACCCAACTTTGCACCTCAAAACATGCTACCAATGCAAAGAAAGAGCAGGGAGAGCTATCATAGTTTATTGGTTTGACTACATTGGACTACAATTATGAAGACCAGGGTTCAAATCCCACTGTGGCCATGGAAATACACTGGGTTATCTTGGGCAAGTCACATATTCTCAGCCTCAGGGAAAGACAAAGCCAAATCCCCTGTGAACAAATCTTGCCAAGAAAATCCCATAATAGGTTCACTTTAGGGTCACCCTAAGTCTGAAACAACTTGAAGGCACTCAATAATCATCACAAGGGGGTTGCTTTTGCCTTTCTCTGAGGCTGAAAGACCATGACTTGCCCAAGGTCACCCAGTAGGTTTCGCTGGGTAAGCAGAGACACAAACCCTGGTTGCCAGTCATAGCCCAATGTTCAAACCACTATACCACACTGGCTCTATTCCATTTATTTGTTGTTTCTTGTTAACTGCCTTTGCATAAATCTTGACCCATGGTATTCGATTTATACCTCCTCCCATTTGGAAAAGAGATAAAGGTTTGTACCCATTTGTCTAGCACAATTATATAACCAGCTGCAGTACCAACCTGTCCAAAATGAACTGCCCAAATGCTATTAAAGTGCTGGTAGGGATAGGAGCTTAAATTGGTGAGAGCACTGGTTGCTAGTTGAGTCAGTTGTGTTGGAACCATCATCCCTGGCCAGCATGGCCAGTGGAGAAAGTTGTGCCAGATTTTTGCTATGACCTGTTTGATGCATGAATAGTTATGTGAAGTTAATAAATTAGCTCTACTCCATTAAAAAGCGATTGGTTGTGTCTCTTGTAAAGACTCAAGAATTGAGGAGTTTGCCCTCAGAACCAAAGTCCTCTGGTTAGTGAAATGCTGAATTTCATTCCCTTCATGTGAAGCTGTCTAGTCCGGGTTTTGCCTGTTAATTAAAACAAAGTGTGGTACTGCACCCAACCCTGATGTGTACACAAGTTTGGCCAAGCAGGGAGTGAAGGCTTTCAATTCCTAACACTAACAATAGTAAGGAGATGAGTTAAGTGCAGAATAGACTGATGGTTCAGAGGAGGGGCCACCACAAAATCCCCTCTCCTACACCCCATAGTAGCACTCTGATAACTACAGCTTGGTAGCCACAGTCATCCATCTTTGGTCAATGCTGAGGCCTGACCATGTGCTTGCCTTCTCTTGCTGTGGCACATTGTCAGGTCCGCCCCAAGATGTCTTGCTGCTTGAGATTTTAAAATAGAGTAATTCTGTGGCATTTCCCATGCTATATATAAACCTTAGCTAGTTTGGCAGTTGAATCTTTCTTCACAAAAGGTGATGGGGAAAGCACCCTCCACCTCACTTGAAAGTAAAGGCTAGCTTGAGGGAGTGGGTACACAGCAGGCTGTGCCTCACACAATCTTCCTGTTGTTTCCCCTCCCCAGCATCTGCTTCCTGAGATTGACTGCCCCTTCTGTTGCATAGTAGGGTCTACTCTGCCCTGTCATGCAGGGTAGAAAAACCCTACAGAAAGGAAGCAGGTTGGAGCTGGGAAGTAGAGATTGAAGTATCCCTAAAATGCACCTAAGGCCAAGTGTTTAGCAGCTGCTGACATATGGTGGATGGGGGGGGGGGGGGGGGAGTTGAGTGACCTCCTGAGAATGGCACTGGCTTATTATTGCATCTAACATCTATCAACAATTTATTTGCAAGAGCAGATTTGTCTTCTACTAACGAACAAGTGCTGCAGTAGGAAATCAACCTAAAACCCTGCTACTCTTCAGCTGATTTTGCTTAGGATTGCTATGGGTGTGGCAGTAACATTCCAACCAACTTTGCTGTGAGGGAAATCCTGTTCATGTAGGCCAAAACAACCATTATGTGGAAAAGAGCACCATATTTAAGGATCTTGAAGAAGCTATGATACTCAGTTATGGGCTGAAGAACATCAGTGGTGTTCACTGGACAAACTCTTTTTGGACCTATTTTAAGGAACTGGATAGGGTTACATGGACATTTCAGAATGAACACCTCAAATGATTTATCATTCCCGAACACCATGGTTCCCTCTCTTCCCACTTCCCTCTACCTGCAGCCTCCATCCTAGGAGCTGATGGCAAAACAGCTGATGACTGGGGATGCAATAAGCCTATGTGTCACAGGCAGGCAACACCTTCCCTAAC